TTTTTGTAAGTTATATTTGAGATTGTGTATTTTTTAAGTTGTTTTTAGAGTTTGTCAGTATGGAATTCAACAACAAAAATAAATAGTTTGCAGGAAAAACTCGTCATCCAAGCAGTGATAGTTTTTGTATGTCAATTTTTTTCCCCTTTTTGGCAGATGCAATTCCACTGTTTTAACTGTTAACATTCTTAAACCTACCCCTTTCTTTCACACGTATCCCAATGGAAGATGCATCCCTTCCGATGATAAATAGTAGACCGCGGTGCATTATCTTCGAATGAAAGGAGCAGTCCTGAGGTCCTTTGCTTCTTCCATGGCTTTAGAACCCCAAAGATGAAAAACGCCAATAATAATTATGATTGTTACAAGTAGTAGTAAAAAGAGCTAAACTCTTTGGTACTTCTTGCAGCAGTTTATGAACTTTTGGAAACAAGGAAGTGTTTAGCTCCGGCACAGAATTGTGATCTTGTTATATAATGGAAGGATATTTCATTCATGTTTTTATTTAGATGCTTTCGTTCAATCATATAGTCTCCCATAATTGCATAGGATGCTTTGTTGATGTATTTTCGAGTTTGTAGTGGATCTCCTTTGTACAAGTTTATATCTTTATCAATGAAAAGCTACTTTTTGCCCTAAAAAGAAACGAAAAATTTTTAAAAAATTAAAAATAAAAAGAGCTGAGCCAGGGTCCAAGGAGTTAAAATGGCAGTCCGTCTTGAATTCTTGAAGCATAACAACCAATATAATGTAATAGCATATGAAGCCATAACTATGTTATATATAGCGCTACAAATAATTAATATCAATCCAAGGTCGATAGTAAATCTTGTACATGTCTATCTGTCAAAACAAAAAAGGATGAAAAAAATACAGATAATATATATCATAAATATACAAGAGCGATGAAGGTTTGTACACCTTCCTCGATCCATGAAAAATCCGGGATTTTTCAGGGCATCAGAAAAGGAACATCACTAAATCTAGCCTATATGATCATCATGCATACCGGGAGTATTCATACACAGGGATCTGGCATCTTCAACGTCGCCACAGCCAAGGCTCATCAAGGTTTCAATACATGAGGCCAAAACATCTGCACCCCCAAATTCAATTGATGCAAGCAAGAAAACCATGATGATCATGCAGATGGCTATTGCTTTCCTGGGAGCCATTTCTCTTATTTGTGGAAAGGCCAATGGATTCAGAAAGGAGTTACGAGCCTATAAATCTTAATTTTATTCGTGGTAAGTGCAAGTTAGAAGTATGAGATTGTATGAGGTTTTTAGTACATTTTTTGGATTAGATGAGTTCTAGATAACGATGTTGCTGAAAATTTTCTTGGTCAGGTTTCTGGTGAAGAGAAGAATAAGGAGACTGTGAACACTCGCAGCGGCTGGGAGCAAACGAGCTTCTTTCTCCACCGCCAGGTGTGGAAGGAGGGACCAGCTGCCAAGAGCTCGTAATCTATTTTGAGCGCGTATTAAGGTTGTGTTTGGATTGCATTTTTCATAGATTTTTCGTTGAAAAATTATTGTAGCGATTTAATGTATGTGAGGTCAAAAGGTGATAGGGAAATGTGTTCACGAAAAACAAGGTCATTTTATGGTGGAAAATGGCTATCCAAACAAGCTAAGGCCTTGTTTGGATTGCAATTTTCCGTCGGAAAATTACGTTATTTTTCGTGATCACATTTTCCTATTACATTTTTCCCTCACATACATCAAATCGCTACAGTAATTTTTTCATGAAAAATTATGAAAAATGCAATCCAAACACAACCTAAGTTTTCCATGAAATCTTCTAGTTGTGATCAATATATGTTTGGCAAACAAATTATTGATATTGCACATATAAAAGAATCAATGTATAGAACATAAAAATGACCATTTCAAGATTTTTGTAATTGGCATTTCACGATTTTTGTAAATACATTTTTCAATTACTATTTTACCTCGCATACATCAAATCACTATTGTATATTTTTATACAAAAACTTCTAAAAATAACAATCCAAACAAAAAATGTTTTAATAAATATCTTTGAAAAATTAGACTTTGCCACCTAAACTTTTTATGAAAATGTAAAAATGCTCCTTCTAAGTGTACATCTTTACTAGTTTTACCCCTCCAAATTTCTACCTTTTAGTTTCATTAGTATTTTTTATTATCTTTTTATCACATTTACATCGCTTCACATCATAAAAAAGTGTTTCATTAATTATTTGAAATAAATTTTCAAATAATCTCTAATCCAAACAATAGCAGATCACTCAATAATTAAGCAAGTCAAATTTATAATGCAAGCACAAATACGTATGATTTGGTTCAACCATTCACGCCATTATACAGAATGCGTATGGAGAAAGTAACGTGGAATAATATACACGAGAATCTAGATACATGTCATATATAGACAATCTTTTATTTAATTCAAATTCAAATAATGTGACATATATCCAACTTCATTACTTTATGCATTGATAGTGTAGGAAAAATTAATTTTATACGAATTGGGGCTTAAACAATAGTAAGATCCATTGTATGTTGCAATTAATGGTATGAACAAATTCAATTTGAAATTGGGTGGATGAAATTGATTTGGGGACTTAATTTTCAAGGAGTGCCAAAATTTATTGTATTTTTACACATATTACGTTACTTATCTGTTGTATTACTGTCTCTATTGCACCGCACAATTGAAACTAACGATTACAGAAGCCCTTGATCTATATATGCGCCGCCCATATCCATTTGGATTGATGTATTTTTTAAATACAATGTTACAGTAATACATAAATAAAATAATTTTAAAAATATATTATTCATACAATATATCAAAAATAACTCACAAATATAAACAAAAATTTTTTAAAAAGTTAAATTTATAACATTTTCACCTATCACAACCTCCCCCTGCCCTTCCTCCTTCTCCTCCCACCCCTGCCCTTCCTAGACCAAATCGAGGCTTTTGGTCACGGTTAGATCACGACTGAAAGGTCATAACTTTTCTTGTCGTGGACAGTGGAGGAGACTGAGCGAGGGGGAAAATGGAGGAGGGAGGGAAGGAGAAAGGAAGAGGGAGGGGGTGGCGGCAGCGGTAGTTGTGGGTGGTACTATTAATGTTTAAAAAGTATCATAAATATAATATAATTTAAAAGTTACCTTAAAATATATTTCAAAAATCCTTCAAAAAAATCATAAAAAACATTTCTATAATAAAAATTTTTTATATACATTATTAGAGTAAAATATTTATTAAAAAAATCTCTTAAAATAGTTAATTCAAACGAAATTTTTACTCCACGACAAAACAAAGAGCATGTTTTTTGGGGGAAAGAGGGGTGGGGGATGCTGCATGAACTAGGAGCCATGAACCTGTATATCCATTGTACGCAAGTCCAAATTCATATTCCAAACATTCGCAATTATAATGCGGAAGGTCTCATTCTGATTTCTACATCTGTCCGTCACATTTATGTGGTTGGGTTGTTAAGTTACATCTTTCTCAGGTTGCTCTTCAGCCATGTCCACTGCCTTAATTTCATAGGCCCGCTAAATTAATTCTCTTCTCTAGATGCTTACTGTTCATGGGCTGTGCTTCCCATCCACGTGGGGTTCGATACTTCAATTGCCAACTTTTTTTTTTTTTTTTTTTTAGAAGGAATCAATTGCCAGCTTCACCCGTTCTATATTTACTTTAAATTCAGTCCCATTCTATAGAACAAAATACAAAAATAATTAACTACTATCAAATCAAGCCTCATCAATCGATTCATTCATACTGTAGACTCTGGAGTTTAGTCTGTGTTTGGACAGTTATTTTCCGTCAAAAAATTGTTACGTTTTTCGTGAACACATTTTCCTATTATCTTTTTACCTTACATATATCAAATCGCTACAATAATTTTTTTATAAAAAATTCAAAAAAATGCAATCCAAACACAATCTTAGAGTTTGTTTAACTCTGTGACTACGTTAATTGGACTAAAATTTGTTTAACTCGACTAAACTTATTTTGACCGAGCTAGCATACATGTAGAATAAGAGCCCATTAGATTGTATTTATTTTGACGGAGCTAGCATACATGTAGAATAAGAGCCCATTAGATTGTATTTTTAAAGTTTTTGCAAAAAAAAAAAAAAAAAATTTGTAATTTTTTTTTTAAATATGATGTATGCGTTTCTAAAAGAATATCTCCAAGAAACCCAAGTTTTTTAACAAGAAAACCTAAAAATTGTGAAACTTTGAACTTTATTCACTCTAAATATTAAAAAGAGAGCAAAATGAAGTTTTGGTTTCTAAATTTTGAATGTTGAGCGATTTTTATGTCCAAAATTTGGATGAAAACAAAACCAGTACCCAAGTTTACAATATTTATTTAACCATATTTAGGACGCTTGATGGAATTTTTTAAAAAATTTTTATTGAAAAAGTTACATGCTATTATGTGTGTGGCTACAGAAATGTAAAAATATTCTAAAATATCAAAATATATTGAGAGACAGGTCCAATATCAATATCGCAAAGATAGAGAGAGGGGTTTTTCTTTGCATTTTTTCTTTCAATATTAGGTTTTGAGATTTTCTTTTTTTCTTTAATATCTTATTTTTGTAGGTTGTTTTTTGATTTTTTGAAATTTGTTTATAATTTTGTTACTGAACATGACATCATGTGACTAACTTTTTAAAGTAGGAATTTGAAAAAGAGTCGTCTAAAGTTTACTAAATGTGCTTAAATATTGATTTATTTTCGTCTAAAATTTTAGTATCAAAATCGTTTCATGGTTAAATTTGAGTACTAAAACTGTATTTTAATTAATTAAAAAATACAAATACAGGAAAAGAAAAGAAAAAATACTAGATACGGACCCCCTACATTACACGGTACTACTAGTATTTATCTTGCAATTTGTCCATCAGAACAGAAACCAATGAAGCTCGCTTCCTGTATCATAGCACTCCACATTTCCATTTCAGCCGCTTTATTTTTGTCTCTCTCACACACTTATACACGTTCGAAAACACACACTGACACTGTTTCAGCTCCACCTAGGCTCTCTCTGTCTCTCTATAAAGCATCAATATCATCATTCGCATCGGAATCTCAATTCCAACCCCTCCAAAAACCTCACGCATTCCACGCTTCAAAATCTCCTTCCCCATTATCCCAAAAAAAAAAAAGAAGTGAAAATGGATAGACTTCAGCCAATGTTTAGGCCGCCGGAGACCCCAAGAGAGCCAATGGAGTTTCTGTCACGTTCGTGGAGCGTTTCAGCTCTAGAAGTCTCTAAAGCTCTTGCTCCTTCTCAAGTTTTGGCAAAGGCTGTCAGTGGTGGTGGTGCTGTAAATGTTAGTCTTACTGCTCCGCTACTTAACGGCGGTGGGAGCATACCGGAGGATATCGTCGGCGAGTTGGAGGAGTCTGCTGCTGTTTCCGGGAACCCTTTTTCGTTTGCTTCTTCTGAGACTTCTCAGCTTGTCATGGAACGCATTATGTCTCAGTCTGTAAGTTTCTGTGTGTTTCTTAGTGTCCTGTATGAATGGAAAGGACCCGCTTTTTAGCATTTTGGCGAGAATTTGGCTTCGACCCAGATGCTCAAAATTCCTGAACTTTGTCGTATAGCTTCCCGGAACAAATTTGTCACTGTTCTGAAATTCTTGTTTCTTTGGAGTTCTTTGATTTTGGTCTTTTGTTTTTATGGGGATGGTTGTGAGGGGAGGCTACTTTCTTTTTTCTTAATTTTTGTTTTACTTGTGTTGTTTGTTTGTTTGTTCAGTTGTTTTCACTTGTTGTCGGGATTATGGGTAAACAAAAATAGTTTCTTGAAATTCCGAAGTCGAGTTTAAAATTACTTGCCATTTTCAATGTAACTTGTAAAACAGCTGGGCCGTGGCATAGTGTTTCCTAGGAAATCCAATCTAGTTTTTGTTTTTGTTTTTGTTTTTTGAAAAACCGAATCAAGAATTGAATTACACGACACCATGCCCTTGCTTGCTCCATTTTTCCAGATTAAACAAAAATATGGGTATCACTATTCTGTATTAAATGCCAGAAATTAATCATGCCGTGCAATTCCACTTTCTTTCTCTGGCAACTTGATTCATACTTTTCAAGTAGAAGAATATTTTTGGTGTATTTTTGTGATGTTGCAATGATTTCGATTCCTAGCATAGTCTGCAAATGTCTAATGATTTCTAGTTTTCTTTTGTAACCTTTTTCAGTAGTGTAGGGCTCAGTGTTCACATATTCTACACAGTACCTTGTTAAATCAGTTTAATTAATGGAAAGTACTAATACTACAGCAGGAAGTATCACCACGGACTTCTGGAAGGCTCTCTCACAGCAGTGGACCTCTCAATGGTGGCCAGAGCTGTGGCTCTCTTTCTGACAGCCCTCCTGTCTCTCCTTCTGAAATTGACGACAAGGTCTGGTCTTTCTCTTCATGCTGCATGTACTAGTAACATTTATATTTGTACACAGGACTTTCTGCAAAATCCCAGATGGGCTCAGCTTATATTTTCTTGCCTTTTTTTTTTTTGGGTGTGTGTATAAATTGTAAAGCACGAGTTCTGAAACTACAGAATAGGGCTCAGGGACGAGCACAATGCCTCAGCTTTCTCTTTGACCAAAACAAACAAGTGTCGAAAAGGGAACCGCAGAGATGCTTTTCCTTCTTCCATGCACCAAAACTCGAATCACTAGGATCGTTGTACTTTTTTCTTCTTTTTGTTCTTTTTCATTCATTAATTACATAAGGTGGATTATTTTAAGCTATTTTTTATTTTTATATTTGGCTAAGAACTATAGTCGCTAATGGTAGTCTAATGTCCTATATAGAGTATACAATTAATTGTCGGCAGAAATCTTTTTAATTTTTTTGGGTGGTAAACTTTTAGTTTTCAATTCTTGAAATTGACTGCCGCTTATGATGGCTCGACTGAAACATGCTTCGTTATGTCGCGGCAACAAGGACGCTGCAATTCCAAAATAAGTTCATTTTATTTTATTTTGTAATTTTTGCCAAAATGCTGGGTATGGATGATTTTAATGCAGTAAATGATCCTTGCCGCGATTAGATAAATAGTTTGGTGGTTGCAGGGGCTCTGAATTTTGCAGTACATTCATGGTTGCATGTGGCATAGTTTATACGAGTGGGGGCTTAATTACAAGAAGAGATTGTCCTTTTTCTTGATTGTCAAGTATGGGTGACATGGGTCCAAAGACATGAACACCTAGAAGGATTGGTCTAGCTTGATGATTGACTGTACAACAATAGGCACATTAATTTAATTCACGAGGGTTGGGTGGTGCATACCTAGCTAATGGGGCACATTACAATTTTTCCAGTATGCCCAATCGGGTTGGTGGTTGCAATCTGATCTGTTATTTTTAGTAATAAATGAATGCTGACACAGATTTGAATGCGCAGTATTCTCGCCTGAATAATACAGTTAACAGCCAGTACAGAGGCTGCACGGTTGCCACGGGCAGCGCTGCCGCCGTGGTTGGTGGGGGTGGAAAGACTGTTGGAAGGTGGTTAAAGGACAGGAGAGAGAAGAAGAAAGAGGAGACAAGGACTCATAATGCACAGCTCCATGCTGCTGTTTCGGTTGCGGGAGTAGCTTCTGCTATTGCAGCAATTGCTGCAGCAACTGCGGCCTCGTCTGCACAGGGAAAGGATGAAAATATGGCTAAGACTGATATGGCTGTGGCATCAGCCGCCACGTTGGTGGCTGCACAATGTGTGGAGGCTGCTGAGGTATTGGGGGCTGAGCGCGAACATCTGGCTTCAGTTGTTAGTTCTGCTGTTAACGTGCGTTCTGCTGGTGACATCATGACCTTAACAGCTGCTGCAGCAACTGGTATAGAAATATTTCGAATTCCAAAGTTTCCAATATTAAGTTTTCTTCATACATGCTGATTGCTAATCTTTCGACTTCAGGATTCTATTATCAATGCTCATTTTGATAATTGTTACCTTGCTTTTACAACAACAAATTTAAAATATGCTCTTTAGTTTTTGGTGATCCTTATCCGATGGATTGTTATTTGTCTAGCCCTGCGTGGCGCTGCAACACTGAAGGCAAGGACATTGAAAGAGGTTTGGAATATTGCATCTGTGATTCCAATGGAGAAAGGGATGGGAGTAGGAAATGGCAGCAATGGGGGAAGTAATGGTAGTTCAAATGGTAGCTTCAGTGGTGAGCTTGTTCCTGAAGAGAATTTCCTTGGAATCTGTAGCAGGGAATTGCTTGCCAGAGGTTGTGAGCTCCTAAAGCGCACTCGCAAAGGTAACTATAGTTTCTGTTCTTTGGCCTACCCATGATCCAATGGAAAAGCTTGAAGGTGTACGATTAACAATTTGCCAGATCAAATCTTCTTTTAAGCATTTTGTCAATGTTCCTTGTATTTTTGGCTGGTGGCTTGGCAGTCTCACTTGTAACTTGAATGCAGGAGATCTCCATTGGAAAATAGTATCTGTTTACATCAACAGAATGGGTCAGGTGTGTTTCTGCTTATGATTGGATAACTGTGGTTTAACAAGTTACACTACAGATCAAGTTTTGAACTTTTGTGATGATTTTGTTTACCCCCTTGACATTTTAGTGGCAAAATCAAAGCTCTAGGCAATTGTTCCTCTAGAAAATGTGCTGATTTTATACAAAGATAGAATAAGAGACTTGTGCGCTTTTTTTTTTCAATTTGATCGATAAATTGACAGCTCTCTATTTCTTTTCCGCAGGTGATGCTTAAGATGAAGAGCAGGCACGTAGCTGGGACCATTACAAAAAAGAAAAAGAGTAAGTTGTTAAAGCTCTTGTCTTTCTCTCATGATATCAACAGAATTGGAGGTGGTGGGTCTTCCTTCTATTTGGGGATTTGGGAAAGTCATACGCAACCGAGTGGAAAAAAGTTAAGAAAAGTTGCCATCTTTAATCTCTGCTCTCTTTTTGAATTTTTTGTAGATGTGGTGTTGGAAGTTCTGAAAGATATTCAGGCTTGGCCCGGCCGCCACTTGCTTGAGGGCGGTGAGAACCTGAGATACTTTGCCTTGAAGACAGTGTTGCGAGGAGTAGTGGAATTCGAGTGCCGGAATCAGAGAGACTACGATATGTGGACTCAAGGAGTCTCCAGGTTGCTTGCCATAGCTGCAGAGAAGAACAACAGGCATATACTTTAGATTCTTACTTGCTGCTATATAGTATTCTAGCAGCAGATGATGAGTAACTTAGCAGTGTTTGTAGAATAATTTTGGAAGTGGTGGTGGGATTGTGTTTTTTTTCTTCTTCTCCTATTGTAAAAAGAGAGAATTAAAGTTTCAAAGTATAAGCTGTCCAACCAAATGTGGTCTTCCCTTTATTTGGAGAATGAAATCTTGGTCTTCTGTTCTTTAATCTCTTTGAGTCCTTAAAAAGTAAAGTGAGAACTGATAGGAAACCATGTGATCCAAAACCCTTTGTTTCTTTCATTTTTGTGGAAAAGAAAAGGGGTATCTTGGACTGAGGTGGTCAAAAAGAGGAGGAGAGAGTCCCCATCTAATCTTTATTTACAGAGATAAGAACACGGGCTTGATTCTAATGCGCTTTATCTATTGTCTTTTGCTTTTCTTTGCCTCCAATTACTATTAGGGGATGGGATCATGGCCTCTGTTCAATATTATTAATAACTCGAGCACATTTGGCTCATAGGTTTTTGACTTCACAGATGGAGAAGGTGAGACGAAATAAAAGGAAAGGAAATTTGGGGTGGTACTTTATACAAATGATCTTCCTATAGTTCTAAGAAGCAGTTTGAGCAATATGATAAAACAAGCACCAGCTGCTCTGAGCTGGGGTCTGCGAAGCTTTTACCTGGAATTCACAAACCCGCACGCTACTTATCAACGATCCGTAGCCAAACATGTGCTCCGAATGGTCAGAAGGAAGGGGGCTAAATTGAGGATGAGCAATGCAGAGCAAACAGTGACAAAACATCTAATTATTTGGTAAAATGTACAAGTAGTTGCAAGAACCTGCTACTGCCACATGAATTGGACGCATTGTTTGGTCACCATAAGATTTGAACATTGCATGAGAAAATGTCTAGAAAAATTTATCACAATTGTTTGTTTTGAAAAAAGTAACTGGAAGTGTAACAGGCAAACACCTCTTGACCTTCAAATTGTGCAATTTGGAGAACTTGCGATTTTGAAGCCCAGGCTTCGGATTGGTGCCAGCTAACTCTCTGGTATACATGGGCAATTAGGAAAAATTCAACTTTTGATGTCTAAAGTTTTGCATTAGGATGACCTCCGATGTTTGTGAAGAGCAGCATTTGAAAGCCTAAATCAAATGATCTCGCAAGTGTTTCATCAAAACGGCTGCAAGATGGTTATCCAACTTAGGATACTTGAGCAACTAGTAAAACGAGTTCAGTGGATGAAACATTCCGGATCTGTAATCCTCAGACGCCTCATTTTCATGAATGGAACCCTGCTAGTTAGATTCTAGAATGATACCAAATGGAGACCCTTATAAGCGTAGTTTTATTGGATTAAACCAGAATTATTCAATCACCATGCCACCGATCCACGCAGGACAACATACATCGATAAAGATGAGGAACAATAGTTTAATTTCTACGAGGGAATGGTCAGAAGAATATAAATCATACTGCCCCATTGTAGATGTGATCAGATGTATTAAAAGGAAAATGCTAGCTAAACTCGTTCTGATGTGCTTTTCCTGTGTTTGTGACATAAACATCAAATAAAACTAATAATACTCTACTACAACAATGATCAAGAAAAAGTTCCCGATGCAAACAAATTCATGCAAGAAATACTCTACATTTTGCAAAGATATAAGAAACTGCTAAATCATCAAGAAAGAGAGATTCAATGAAGAGCAGGAAGAAATAATTAACACACTAAATATATAGCAGGACATTTAAACTTAACACGAACGCAGAATCAAGAACAAATTAATCCCCCATAGAATAGACCAAAACTATTCCGTTAGGATTAAAACATGTACTAATTGCGCTCATTAATCAAGAAACTTCCTGAAGAAAAAAATGCCAATTAACAATCACACCCAGAAACACAGAGTGATAGGCAAACAGAACGTTACATGGAATAACTAACGCAATGATACAAATCAGCACGAAAATTTGTCATATTCATATAACTCAAACAACAAATACTCCACATCAGGAAAATACTAGAGTAATTACTAAAATTATCATGAAAATGAGATTATATGAAGAAGAAGAAAGAGGAATTACGTGTCAGGGGCACCATGCAAACAGAGATTAAGGTGATGAATCCTCCAGGCCAAGTCTGCATGAAAGTCGTGATAGGATGGATGAAGAACATAGTGCAAGCCACCCCAGAAGTGGTCAGCAGCTGAAGCAGAGAATCAGATAGACTTTTCTGATGAAAGCCCATCTCAGGTTAGGATCTTCAACCATTCTTGGGAACAGCTGAACATTGTGGAAACAGCCCAGAAAATCTGAATGGGATTCTGGAATCTTTGTAGTGTTTGGGGGAAGTGCAGAGTAGTAAGGTGGCTAGCAGAGAATTGGTGCTTGGTGATGCGATATATTATCATTGACTTTCGGCATTTTTCACTTGGGATTTTTTAAAATGCAGAAATTTGCAGTTGGCAGAGTTATAATTTTGATCTTTATGTTTTGGAATTTGACCAGTATCATTTCTGTGCCCTCATATTTCACAAGAAGTTCCCTATAGTTTTTTTTTTCAAAATTGAAGTCTAGTGCGTCATATCTTGATTTTCATAAATTTAGCTTTAAATGTTCTCATGTGATACGTGTAATTATATTAAAGAAAGATCAAATGTGTGAAAGTTGTATAAGAGAGATTGAAAAAAATAAAGTAGTACAAAACAAAAACACTGTGTGTAAAATGGCTATCCATATTCTTTGATATTGTTGGATGATTCAGAGTCTTTTGCTTTGAGAGGTCTAATATTTCATGTTTTGAGTATACTAATTCTTTATAATTTTAGGAGTATTTACTGAGTTTTTAAAATATTTGGTTATATTAGATTCCTGTTAATTGTTAGGATACGCATGAGAGATGAATTATAATTTTTGGAGAAATTTATAAAGTTTGCTAGCGAAAGTCAATGAGATGAGATTTACAGCCATGAAATATTTATTCTGATTCAAGATGGTGCTTGCGGAAAATGTTGTTGCGATTTACAGCCATGGAGATACTGATTTGTCTTCAATTTATTGATTACTTGAACTCATTGATCCTCGTCTGCAGCCTGCGGTTTTGGTCAATGTGTTTACACTCAACGTCTTATTACTCTTTCCTTTAGTTTTCATCTTCAATTCAGTCGTAATTTTCTTGACTCCTTATTAAGTATCATTTATTGCAAGTTGAAAATGAAACTTTGCATTCAATAATCGAGTATTTGAGAAGGATTAAATTGTTGCATCTCCAAGACATGTGTCTTACAAAGAATACTTTTCTATTTTGCTTTTATACTTTGTTCAGGTTGAGTCGAGGCCACTTAGAAATTGTGATTTTGTTTGCTGTGTGAGGAGGTGATTTTTGGTTGGTAACTAGACCGACCTGGATCAGTCCTCTCTGAGATGAAGTGAGGTGAACTCCTGTGTCCGAAGTGAGCCTCCTTGTCCGAAGTGAGTGGCGGGCTTCTCCCCTCATGCGATTCACATCTTCACTTCGGATTCCCTGTCCACTCTTTCCCAGAGTTCGTGAAGTGTACGGGGGTAATCCCGATGAATTTCGGTGTTGAAAAGTCCGGCCACCAACCCGTTGGTAAAGGCCGCGAGAGTTACCTGCTCATTCTGATCAGGTATTTGCACATTCTCCTCGTTGAACCTCTGAGCATACGAGCGAAGAGACTCGCCCTGACCCTGTTGAAGGTTCAAGAGATAAACTGAAGTCTTCGTGATTGGTCGAGACGACACGAAGCGGTGGATGAACCGGTCTATCAGCTCATCCAGGGAGGAAATGCTCCCCGGTTCCAAACTCCAGAACCACTTCCGGGCAGTCCCATGTAGGAAAATGGGGAAAGCCCGACAAATCACGGCGTCGGGGACACAGTAGAGTCGGAATGCGGAGATGAAGGCGCGGAGGTGATCCTCGGGGTCACCTCGGCCGTCATAGGTGGGCAAGTTTGGGAGCTTGAAATTCGGGGGCACCCTTTCCCCATTGATGTCATCCGTAAAGGGCGGAGCCCTCATGTAGTCCGAAGCCAGTCCCCCGGGGCGCCGAGGTAGGCCCTCAGCTCGCTTCCCTAGCAGTCCCCGGGAAAACGCCCGGGAGATGGAGGCTAGCTTAGAAGTCGCCTTGGAGGAGGCACGCCTGGAGGTACTCCGAGAGAGACGCCCCTCATCGGAGTCTTCACCTGAAGGTGCCTCAGGGGACTTCGTCGGCCTCCTCTTGGAAGACTCGGCCTTTTCTTTCCCCTGTCTTTTGAGGTACCTTCCTAGCTCCTCAAAAATGGTTGGGTTGTGTGATACGAACTCGGCCATCTTGGCGATGGCCTCCTCGTTGTTAGGCTGGGTCCTTGGGGACCCTTGCTCTTCAGAGATGCGATCTTGCTGGGCTCCCGAGGTCTGCCCAGCCCCAGTTGAGGGAACTCGACCACTTCTGGAGCGCGTGGATCTCATTTTAGTAATAGTAGTCTCGTTCCCACAGACGGCGCCAATTGAGGAGGTGATTTTTGGTTGGTAACTAGACCGACCTGGATCAGTTCTTTTTGAGATGAAGTGAGGTGAACTCCTGTGTCCGAAGTGAACCTCCTTGTCCGAAGTGAGTGGCGGGGCTTCTCCCCTGGTATCACTCCGACGATCAAGTTAGTATGAGAACGAGAATAATGAGAATGAATTAATGAACAGTGTATGCTTACTTGTTGGGAGCGTGTCTGGGGTATTTATAGAAGAGAGGTGATCAATACGGAAGGCTCATGCTAGCGGGACCCACTCTCTGGCATTACGGCTCTGTCTCCTGCCAGGAGGTCTGACTCTGACACTGTAGCCGCCTGGGAGTGATGACGGAGGATATGGTGCAGGTGCCATTAAGTGCCTCCAGTGCTTTTCAGATAAAGTGCTGGTCCTGGATGATGTCAGGTGGGTTGACATCATCAGCGTGCAGCCGAGGTGGATGTGCCGAGGTCACCTACACGGTGGACTAGGGATGAAGCCGAGCTCTGGGGTTGTGCTCAAGACAGGGATGAGCTCCGATGAGGGACGAGGTGAGTTCACCTCGGCCACTCGGGATGGCCGAGGAGACATCGGCCGAGGTGAACCCGGCCCAAGTGGCACTTCAAACCAACTCCGAGACCGCCGGAGTGTCTTTGATCGAATAGTGAAAGGGAGATCGTCCACCTCGGACGCCGAGCTGACCCCGCTCAATTCTAGTCGGTCTCACGTCTTGGCGGTGATGAGGCAAAATCACCTCGGTCGAACACCTCCTGAGATCCCTGGAAGGAGAGATAAGAGGAACTCCAACCTCTACTGCACCTACCACCGAGATGTTGGGCACGAGACTGAAGATTGCAATGATCTGAAGCGAGAGATCGAAAACCTGATCCGACAAGGATATCTGAAGCAGTTCGTCCGCAAAGACGGAAGCTTCAACCGAAGTACCTCCCACCGGGAGAGCCGAGATCCTCGCCGAGAGGACAGGCGGGACACTAAGCTTAATTGCCGAGGTCCTGAGGACCACAAGGGGGATCAGAGGCCTCCACGTGACGGATCACCAGGCTATGACCCAAACATAGCCGGGGTGATCAACACCATCTCAGGTGGCCCCACGGGAGGAGACAGCCAGAACTCCCGAAAGCGGACCTACCGCCAAGCCGGCATGGATGTGGCCGAGCCGAGCTCGAGGCTGTCCGAGGTGATAACCTATGGTCCCCGTGACCCTGTCCCCGCTGCCTCCAGCAATCACGAGACCCTCGTGATTGAGGTCTTCACAAACAATTATATAGTAAAAAAGGTCTACGTTGACCCCGGAAGCTCGGTAGACGTCCTGTACTACCGAACTTTCGAGAATTTGAAGTTGACCCGGGAGCAACTCACTCCGGTCAGAACTCCCCTTGTTGGCTTCGGGGGACACGTCGTCCACCCGGAAGGCATGGTGAATTTAATGGTGACTATCGGGCGTCATCCCCGTTGCCGAACCGTGCCTGTCAGCTTTGCGGTGGTCAAAGCGGACTCTCCTTACAACATGCTGATAGGCCGACCGACGCTCAATGCCTTGAGAGCCGTATATTCTACCTACCACCTGAGTTTCAAGTTTCCAACGCCAGAGGGTGTGGCCGAGGTGAGCAGCGACGTGGGCGCCGCCCGAGAATGCTATCTCGCCACCATCCAAGCCGCAGTCGGACCTCAGCCCCAGCCGAGGTCAGAAGAAAAGAGGCCGGCTGTCCTCTCCATAGACTGCATCGACCCTCATAAGGCAGGAGAGCCCAGCAGGCTTGAGCCCGGGGATGAAGTGGAACAAGTGGTCTTGGATGAAGCCAAGCTTGACCAAGTGGTCCAAGTAGGGGCTGGACTCCCTTCACCCCTGAAAGAAGAAGTGATCTCCCTGATCAAGGACCACCGAGATATCTTTGCGTGGTCCGCAGATGAAGTGGTCGGAGTGCCACCCGAGCTTATAACTCACCAACTTAACGTTAACCCACAGGCCCGACCTGTGCGGCAGAAGCGAAGGCACTTCGGCCCCGAACGCAGCAAGGCCATATCGGACGAGGTCGACAAGCTCTTGCCGGCCAAGATGATCCACGAAATCCAATATCCGACCTGGCTGTCCAACCCAGTCATGGTCAAAAAGGACACCGGCGGATGGAGAATGTGTGTAGACTACACCGACCTCAACAAGGCCTGCCCCAAAGATTGCTATCCCCTGCCAAGGATAGACGCCCTCGTCGACTCGGCGATGGGGTATGAAGTCCTCTGCTTCCTAGATGCCTTCAAAGGGTATCATCAAATAGGAATGAGTGAAGAGGACCAAGAGAAGACGGCGTTCTACACCGACCAGGGTGTTTATTGCTACACCACCATGCCATTTGGGTTAAAGAACGCCGGGGCGACCTACCAAAGGCTGATCAACCGACTCTTCAAGAATCAGATCGGCCGTAATGTGGAGGCTTATGTGGATGACATCCTCGTCAAAAGTCTCACCACTTCATCCTTCCTGTTAGACTTGAGGGAAGTCTTCGGGGTCCTGCGAGATTCGAGGATGAAGCTGAATCCCAAGAAGTGCGTCTTCGGCGTCACCTCGGGAAAATTCCTGGGGTATCTGGTTTCCCACCGGGGAATCGAGGCCAACCCCGACAAAATCAAGGCCATTCAAGATATGTCCCCACCTCGGAACCTCCGAGAAGTCCAAAGACTGAATGGACGCCTGGCCGCACTGAACCGCTTTTTGTCTCAATCAGCTAAGAAGGCCTTGCCCTTCTTTAAAGTGCTGAAGAAGTCTGATCAGTTCGCCTGGACGGAGGAGTGTCAGTCTGCCTTCGACCAGCTGAAGCAGTACTTGCACCACCTGCCCACTCTCGCTTCACCTCGGCCCGAGGAAAAGCTGTACCTCTACCTCTCTGCAGCAGACGAGGCTGTCAGCGCTGTGCTCATCCGAGATGAGGGCACCCAAGTGCCGATCTACTACGTCAGCCGAGCTCTTCGCGGGCCGGAGACTCGATACACTCAGGTGGAGAAACTGGTGCTGGGACTGGTCCATGCCGCTCGGCGGTTGAAGCCCTACTTCTTAACCCATCCTATCTCGGTCAGGACTGACCAGCCCATTCGGCAAATATTGGTGCTACCCGAAACTTCTGGTCGCCTCACCAAGTGGGCTGTCGAGTTGGGAGAGTATGACTTAACATACGAGCCTCGCACAGCTATAAAGGCACAAGCCTTAGCCGACTTTCTCGCCGAGCTGACCTTCACGGAAGGTCCAGAGTCCGCCTCCGCCGGAGCTGAAGTGTCCACTTCATCCCCATGGACATTGTATGTGGATGGATCTTCTAATGGAGATGGCAGCGGGGCCGGACTTCTTCTGGAAGGACCTCAGGGAGAGGTGTGCTCCTACGCCCTCCGCTTTGGCTTCTCGGCCACCAATAATGAAGCCGAATATGAGGCTTTAATTGCTGGACTCCATCTGGCCCGAAGGCTCGGCGCCCAGCAAATCCATGTCCGCAGTGACTCCCAACTTGTTGTGCGCCAAGTTCTCGGTGAGTATGAGGCCAAGGATGAGACCATGCAACGATACCTCTCCAAGGTTCACCAGCTCACCGTGTACTTCGAGTCATTCGAAATTCAAAGAATCCCCCGGTCCCAGAACAAGCGAGCCGACGCCTTATCCCGGCTGGCCTCCACTTCATTCTCTGATCTCAACAAAACGGCCTTAGTGGAAGTTCTGAGTGAACCCGGATATGTGGAAGAGGTGGCCTGCCCCGTGCACTCCGAAGATACCTGGATGACCCCGTTCATCCTTTTCTTGGGTCAGGGAACACTCCCTGAAAACCGAGCCGAGGCGAGAAGAATACAACGCAAGGCGGCTCGGTACGCTCTCCGCGATGGAGAACTGTACAAACGCTCTTACCTCGGCCCATGGCTGAGGTGTGTCACTCCCGAGGCCGGACGTCACGTCCTCCACGAGATCCACGAAGGCCTGTGCGGAGCTCACGTCGGCCACAGGATGTTAGCCAAGAAGACTATGCTCCTTGGATATTTCTGGCCGTCACTTCGGCAAGACTCCCAGGACCTCGTCCTCGGCTGTCCTTCCTGTCAAGTCCATGCACCCGAGCATCACCAGCCCTCAAATTTCATGGTCCCCATCACTTCACTTTGGCCATTCGAGCAATGGGGGACAGATATCATAGGTCCTTTCCCTAAAGCGGTCGGGGGCTATACCTTCCTGATGACTGCTGTGGACTACTTTACTAAGTGGGTCGAGGCCGAGCCACTTCGGACCATCTCGGGGCTGGCCATTCAAAAGTTCTTTTGGAAGTGCATTGTCTGCCGCTTCGGCATACCTCAGATCATCATCTCGGACAATGGGAGACAATTTGCCGAAAATCCATTCAAGACCTGGTGTGAGAACCTCGGCATCAAGCAACACTTCACTTCGGTTGGCCACCCCCAGGCCAATGGTCAAGCAGAAAACTTCAACCGGACTCTCCTGCATGGCCTCAAGACCCGACTACACCAAGTTGGGTCATCTTGGGTGGAGGAACTCCCCAGTGTCTTGTGGTCATATCGGACCACGCCGAGGTCAGCGACGCAAGAGACCCCATTCTCCCTGACCTACGGCGCCGAGGCTGTCATCCCGGCTGAAATCCTTACTCCCAGCCCTCGGCTGGCAGCCTATGCCGCCGAGGTGAACGACGAAGAGAGGCAGCTGGATCTCGACCTTGTTGAAGAACGAAGGGATCTCGCCTCAGCCCGGATAGCCTCCTACAAAAATGCACTGGCACGCTATTACAATGCCCGGGTCAAACACCGTAGATTCCAGCCTGGAGACTTGATTCTGAGAAAAAACTCAGTCAGCCGAGCTGAATCACAAGGGAAACTATGCCCGAAATGGGAAGGCCCTTACCGAGTCATGGAATTTGACCTCAAGGGGTATTGTAAACTTAGTTATCGAGATGGCTCATTAGTGCCGAGGTCTTGGCACGCAGAGAACCTTAGGTTGTATCATGCTTGAAGTTATGACTTCATTCGGTTATTTCATCAAAGTTGACTCTATCCAGTTATCTTGCCAAGCTATGACTTCGGCTATTATGTTATTTTTCAACATCGTTATTACGCAGTTAAAAAATAAGGGGGACAACCAAGGGATGAACTCAAAGCAAGAAACAAGAAATTAAAGAGCTGAGATGAAAAGAAATAGACTTTCATTCAATAGAAGTATTACAAAAAATACAAGGCCGAGGTCGGAGTGCTACTAAACACTTCACCTCGGCCACCCCCTCGAAGCATATGAGCCTAGACCCCCGTCTCGGCTCCATTCCCGGTTTTGGCTCCCTCCTGGGCAGCCTCCTCTTCGGCCTCTTTTCCGCCGGGGTGTTCATCTCCAGGCTCTTTTCCGAGGTCCCCTCCGACTTCGTCCCCCCCGGCCTCGTTTCCCTCAGCTTCCTCTACTTCCACGTCCTCGAACACGTCGTCGAGTTCGGACAGCCACTTGTTGAACTCGACCTGGACTTCGGCCAAGTTCCTTCCCGCCTGAATGCCTTCGGCCATCCGATCACATAACTCCTTTGAGTCTTCATTGTAACTGGCATGATTTTTCAAAGACTCCAAGGTTTCGGGGGAGAGGTGAGTTGCGGCCTCGTCAATGGCCGATGTGAAGCCAAACATGAAGTTAGGCGTAAGCAGTTGGCCGAGGTCCTTGATGAAGGCATCGGACCTCCGAAACGCGTCCACAGCCGAGGCTCCAGCACCCTCGAGAGCTTGTGCGTGGGACTTCTTCACTTCGTCCCCCCTTTTCTGTTCCTCCTCGAGGGCTGATCTAAGACTATTCATAGTAGCCTCAGCATCCTCACCCTTAGCTTCAGCCTCTTGAAGTTGCCTCTGAAGCTCCGACTTCTCGGATTCGGACACCGCCAGTTGTTTCTCCAACTTGGAGATCTGAGTCTGCAGCTTGCCGGTGTCCTGCTCCTCGACTAGAGCACAGTATCTGTGAGCCATCTCGGCCGCAAAAGCTGAGTTGGAAGCCGTGGTCACCATCAGACTTTGAACCAACTCGGCCGGGCTCAGTTTTTTCATGAACTCCAAATCCCTTGGCAGAGTGGAGTGCATTACTAGCTCCTGTGCAACCCGAGGATGCTGGCACCGGTCGTTGACCGAAACTTTCCAGTTCGGACACCAATGATTGCCGGAGTGCGTCTTCTCCTCCCCGGGAAACACTGGGGGGCTATGGAAACGATTCCATAGCGAAGTCCCCGAGACTGGATTGGCCGGGGCCTTCAGCTGCTTGCCTCGGCCCTGAGGAGGTGGGAGTGCCGTAACGACTCCGAGAGGCACTCTCTCTGGCACGGACGAAGTGGACCCAGTAGCCGCGGTGGCCGAGCTGCTCTGGCCGACCTTGGTGGGAGTGCTTGTAGCCGCCGGGGTCTTGGCAGCCTGTCCCTGTGCTTTCTTCTTCTTTGGCGGAAGTGCCGATGTCTCGTCAGTACTCTTCCTCTTCGACCTCTTGGCCACTTCGGACGAGCTGGAGACGACGATATCGGACAACTTGACCACTGCACAAGAAGTAAATATTATCATATGCCTTAGCCGAAGTGAAAAGAAAAGCCATGAAAGAAAATTACGAGGTTTCTCAAGTTTAATGGAAAAGAAGGGGGTCTTGGTAGTGTTGATCACGGCTCGACTTATCCCCCCATCCACGAGCACGGCTTCGGGGTAGTCATGGCTGAACAGCCGAAGTCCCGACTTCATCAGCTTCTGGAAGGACTCTTCTTCGGCATCCCCGGCAGAGGGGTTGGCCTTCGCCTTAATTAGCCTCCACCAAAAATCCCTCGGGAAGTCCACTCCGGACACGAAAAAGTAGTCGCGCTTCCAGTTCTTGATCGAGCTGGGAGCACCGATCACCAACTTCGGGATGGCATTGTTCCGGTTGCCAACATAAAACCATCCCTTATCCGTCGCGTGCGCCTTGAGGGTGTAGCATCGGCGGAAGAGATCGACGGAGGGAGTCACCTCCTGATGTCGGCACAGCATCTCAAACCCCACAATGATGCGGATCGCATTCGGGGTGAGCTGGGTGATTCTCACCTGGAAGTGACGAAGTAAGTCCCGGAGGAATCTCGACGTCGGCATTCTCAGCCCGGCCTCCAGCTGTTAAACGTAGACGGCCACCATGCCAAAGGGGGGCTCCGCGGCTGTGTCACCCACCTCGGGCGGCAAAATTTCGTACCAAGGCCGGAAGGGGTACTTGTCTACCACCTTCATGGCCCTATCTCTTCCTACGCGACTCCTAAACTTCGGCATCTGGCCGAAGTCGATGTCGGTTACGTCCACTGGAGCAACTGGCTCCGATACACCCTCGTCATGGGGTATCTCGGTGCCGAGCTCGGTATTGTACTCCACCTCGGAGCCGCCTTCGCTGATCTCGGACGATTCCAGTTCCGAGGCTGTCTCTCCGGCTCTCACCTCGGTCGATCCTTCCTCGGAACTCTGTGCCGACCCCTCCGAACTGGACGTCGTCGCTTCTTCCTCAGAATCCGCCCTCACCTCGGTCTGGTAGCTCGGGGTCACGGTTTCTTTATGGGTTTTCGCGGTTTTAGCCATGAGTGAAAGACGAGATAAGAAAGAAAAAGGGATACTTACTATTGACTACGATATCGGACGCAGTGAAGACTTCGGCAAGGATCTCGGCTGATGGAACTGACCTCGGCTACGCTCGTGAATTATACAAGTATTGGATGAAAGTGAAAGGTGTGGGAAATGCGGTGAGGGGGCCCCCCATTTATAGGGGTTCTTGGGAACCCGAAGAGGCGGCAAGAATACGGAAGGGCGGCAACGATCCAAATTCCAGATACTTTGTGTCTGCCCTTCTGTCTCTCCCTCTCTCCTCATTAATGCCCTGTCCTTTCGGCTGACACTCTGCACGAAACGTCCCACTACTTCACGACGTGACGGTTACGTGCCGACTCACTCTCCAGGTCCCTTCAACTGACATGCCCACGTGTCACGTCCCCGCATCTTCCGGAGCAGGCTCGGGACCCCGACTCTTCACGACTTCGGCAGAAGGAAGCCTCGGCACCTCCCTTGCTCGGAGCATCCGAGGCTTGGGGGGCTTATTGAGGATGCTCACCTCGGCCATCCCGAGTGGCCGAGGTGAACTCACCTCGTCCCTCATCGGAGCTCATCCCTGTCTTGAGCACAACCCCAGAGCTCGGCTTCATCCCTAGTCCACCGTGTAGGTGACCTCGGCACATCCACCTCGGCTGCACGCTGATGATGTCAACCCACCTGACATCATCCAGGACCAGCACTTTATCTGAAAAGCACTGGAGGCACTTAATGGCACCTGCACCATATCCTCCGTCATCACTCCCAGGCGGCTACAGTGTTAGAGTCAGACCTCCTGACAGGAGACAGAGCCGTAATGCCAGAGAGTGGGTCCCGCTAGCATGAGCCTTCCGTCTTGACCACCTCTCTTCTATAAATACCTCACTCACACTCCCAACAAGTAAGCAGACACTGTTCATTAACTCATTCTCATTATTCTCGTTCTCATACTAACTTGATCGTCGGAGTGATACCAGGGGAGAAGCCCCGCCACTCACTTCGGACAAGGAGGCTCAATTCGGACACAGGAGTTCACCTCACTTCATCTCAGAGAGGACTGATCCAGGTCGGTCTAGTTACCAACCAAAAATCACCTCCTCACTGTGGTACAATTGTCTTGTTTGATTAATCTTCATTCAAGTGTTTTCCTTGACAACGTCTATTCACACTTACCAATCTATGTGCAGGTTCATTCAACATAGCTTAGAAAATAGTGAAATCTTTTAGTGAAGACATCAGAAGCAGTGTATTGGCTACTATGACAGAATGGGACATGAACAAATGACCATCTCTTCGCAGTAATGGCGACACCTATAACAGCATATTTGGTCTACTTATGCTATATATATATTTAAGGAAGCGAAAACCAAAGAAAAGAAGAGTTTTTTATGTATACTACTAAAGAATTTTTAGACTAAGAATATTATGTATACATGTGCCTTTATGTGCATATTTTTTTTTGTTGCATCTATGCGTTTATTAAAGCACAGAAAATATGGGCCTGTTTGGAAGCCAGGTTTTTGGACAAGTTTTTTACCTACTAGTTTTTTAACAACTTTTGCTACAAGAATCCCAAAAAACTTCTCAGAGTTTTTTACCTACACACTTAAAATATCCAAAACACACAAAAAAAAATTCCTTCCCCTTTTTTTTTTCTTCTTCCTCCCCCACCCCAACCCACCACCACCTTCGTCGGCGGCCACCACCTCCACCGCCGGTTCCGGCGCCGATCACCTCTTCCGGTGTCGGTTTTCTTCTTTTTTTTTTGCCCTTTTTCCCTCTCCCCCTCTTCCTCTCCTGCCATCCTCCCCTCTGTCTTTTTTTTTTCTCTCTGCGTCTCCCCCACCACTCTTCCCCTTCCCCTCTGGCCAATCTGGTTGCTAGACCAGATCGCACGAGGGAGAGTGAGGGTGGCGGGGGAAGGAGAGGAGGGGGGAGAAGGAAAATTGCCAAAAAAAAAAAATTTCATTTCGCTGCTTCATCCGTTGGCAAGAGCAAGGGGAGGAGACGGGAGGAGAGGGAGAGGGAAAATGTGAAAAAAGAAAGGGGCAAAGGGAAGGTGAGAAGCGGGAAGAGGAACAGGGGAGGGGGAAGGGGTAGAGAGAGTGGCGGGAAAGAGAGAGAAGGGGTAGAAGGAGTGGTGGGGCAGAGGGGAGGAAAGGGATGGTGGGCATAGGAGGTGGCGGGGGAGGGAGTGGGAGGGGTGGCAACCCAAGGGGTGGCAGGCAGGGGGAGGAATGGGGAAGGGAGTGGGAGGGGATGACGGGGGAGAGGGTAGGAAAGGGGTGGCGGGGGAGGGAGAGGAGAAAAGAAAAAAAAAAAGAAGAAAGGTGGTGTTGGCGGAGGTGCTGGAGGTGGGAGGTAGAGGTAACGGGGAAGGGGGAGGGGGAAGGAAGAAGAAGAAGAAAAAGAAGAGATGAAAGAAAAGAAAAAGGAAAGAAAGAAAAAGAAAGAAAAAAAGAAAAGGAAAAAAAATTTCACCTCACAAATACTTCTACAAAATTTTTCATATTATAAAAACTTCTATAAAAAAGTTTTTCACTTTATAAAAACTTCTACAAAAATTTTTCAAAAACTTTTACAGTGCACTACAGTAAAGTTTTAGACAAACTCCCAAAAAACTCAGGTTCCAAACAAGCCTATAACTGAAGAAAGAGTAGATAGAACATTTTTAGTTGGAGCAGTCCAGCCACCGGGAGTTTCAATCTAACCGATTTTGAATTCCTGTTTTCCTTTAGAGGTGCAAATAGTTCTTTTATAATGTTTATACTTGTCACTTGTAAGTGAGTATAAATTGTACATAGAATTATGCAAAACAAAGTCTTCAAAAATATGGTAAAGATTTTTTATGTAGCCAAAGAATTAATCAACAAAGTGTTCATGCACAAATTTGCCACCAAGTTTTTCTTCTAGCATAAAGAATATACTATTCGGTTGTTCTGTTCTAAGATTAAAATCCATTGGAAAGCATATAACTAGGGTGGGCTTAAGCAATAACTGAACACGTTAATGCTTATTTATTCAACAACTCCTAGTTGAACAAAGTGGTATTTCCATATTTGTTGCGTATTATGATTTTGAAATTCTATTTTAATGAATTTGGATACAAAATTTTTTTTAACTATAAGTTTACTTGGTCACCACCACATTCTACAGTCCTCACCCTAGAATTAGAATTATCCTTGTTAGAGGAGTGATTAGGCGGGGACCTAGAGTTTGTTGGTTCCCTAATTGAAGTAACCCTTATTGCCTTATCATCGTCATCTCCATCTCCAAATTCTACAATGCCACTAAGAGTTGCTGCTGGAATTGGAGTTGATTGCCACTAAGAGTTGTTGCTACAATTGGAGTTGCCTTGAGGGGAGTCACTGTAGTGTCTAGCAAACTCCTTTCTTCTTGAGTCTGATGCGACCAAGAGCTTGTTTGTTCCCTAATTGAAGTACCCGTCATTGTTTCCTTATGAATCACTTTCATGCTAGAATTGACACTTTTTTGATTTCAAGAATTTGTTTAGTTAAGGAATCATCATCACAAGAGGATGACTCGGAAGGGGGAAGGGATGACTCAGGAGGCTTGTCCATGATTGAGGTTCTTGGCAGATGGAGATATTGGTTCGGAGAAATGCAGATGGAGATTCTCGGGTTCTTGGTGGATGGAAATTTTGGTTTCAACAAACGCAGAAGGAGAGGAGAATCTTGGTTTCAAGAAATGCACAAGGAGAGGAGAATATTGATTTTTTGGTATTGAACGTTTGAAGAATGGATCAAAATAGAAGTGCTTATATAGGTTTGTATTTCTGGTTGTGACCGTTGATTATTTAAAAAAATGATATTGGGTTGTCTTTCGTGGTTTCGAGATTTGTTATGGGAGGCATAATGATAGGTAGAATGATGTCATCTTAGTCTATCTAATTATTTGTTACTATGCTGAAATTGCAGTGTTTTGCAATTAGGGTTTTGATATTGCAATATTTTGGCAAACAAAATAAAATATGGGCAAATTCGTCATTGATGCGTAGCAATTTACATAACAAGAAATAGAGTATCGAGTACACCATACTAATATTCTCTGATATACTTGATTAATTCAAAGTCTAAAATCCCTGACCTTCAATTGCGTTGACACTAGCTTTAATTTAGCCGAGTGACGATTTCGCAAAAATAGCCTTAGCCCTACTAATATCTTTTCTCAACATAAGTGTATAAGGAAGGAACAGTCCTATGCTATTTTTTTTTTTTTTTTGTTTCTAAAAATCAGAGTAGGGTCTAAGATGACGAACAGAGGACTGAAGTTACAGAGTGGTGAACTTCAGTTATGCGACCTGTGCGATGTATATTTTTTTTAAACGCTGATTTTTACCAAATTACATTTGCCTAATATAATTAAGATGTCATTATTACTACACAATGATACATATACTAATATTAATAAAAATTCATCAATGCATAATATAAATCTGATTATGTCTTGTACTATTTTTCTTTACAGCCTCAATTAACTCTTTGTACGAGTGTTTCTAGACCAAATAAATTTCAAAACCCTCCAAATAATTTCTTAAGAATAACACCTTATTTACTAACCATATGCACTAATCCAAATTAACTTTAGAAAAAAAAAATTCTCAAATGCACATTAACGTTGAATAAACACTAATACCTGATAAAAAAAAAAAAAAAAACTCCAACTCATAAGTTAATCCAGCTAACTGTAATAATAAAAAAACACCAAAAAGAGAAACAAAAAAATTTCCAGCTTTAAACTGCCGCAATAATATAATAATCTTATAGTTCAATGGCATGATATGATCTTATAATTTAGTGATACTGTACAATAACCTCTTTCAATTTCATGAAATGACACTGGTGAGCTCGAGATATACTATTACAAATATATTAGTTCCTCTCATTACATTTGTTTCATACATGTGTAAAAAAAAACCCCAAAAAAAATGAAAAAAAGCATAGCAACTACATTTTTGGAAGTCATAATTAATATTATTGAATCTACCAATATCAAGAAGCAAAAGCGAATCAAAGCAAGATGGCAACGAACACTCTTGATGATCCTGTTACACTTCCTTTTTCTTCTACTCAGCAGCTAAAGATGGCCTAAAGCTAACCATTTATTCACCGTCAAGGATACTTAAGAATGCCAAAAATAGATTAACGATGTCAGAATAAAGTGCAGTTGCAGCTAGGAGGTATTCATCATAGTCAAAACGCTTGATCAGGTTGTCAGTGTCGTATATCAGGAAACCACTAAACACCAGCGCTGCTGCAGATCCCGCTATCAGTGACCCTAATCTTCCCATGGGAAAGAGGATCTGTTTATCCACAAAATGAAAAACAAAATGTCAAACCAGTCCAGGAACTTGCTTATGATGCAGACAATAACTTTGTTATAGACATCTAGTGCGTGGAAGGAGATAGAAGTTTAGGGTTTATTCAATTTTATTTTTTTTAATGTATTTGAAATTGTGTGTTTTTGAAGTTTTGTTTTTTTTTGTTTTTGTTTTGGAATTTGTTAGTGTAGATCCCACAAACAAAAAAGTTCGTGAGAAAAACAGCAAATCCAAACGGAACTCTTAGCTCTACCCTAAGGTGATGTACCCATTTGTCTATCTAATGCAAATAAATCCTTAATTTGACTTGTGAATTATGTTGTTTAATTATTTAAATTCATGCCATGTAGATGTAGAGATGGTCATCAAGGAAAATATCAAAAACTATATATGTACTCTACTCTTTTTTCTTTTCTTTTTTTTTCATCAAAAACTACCGTATTGTGGTGAATTTAAGCTCTTTCATGGATTATACATTCATAGGCATATTTTCCAATTGCATTATATTGTACTCTTGGTAGAATCTACGCATGGAGTTTTAAATAGTGTTTAACATATGCTTAAATAAACCGATTGATTAGTTAGGGATAATATTATACCAATTACATTACGTATAAGCTAAGTGAAACAGAAATAAATCAGAAACATGAAGAGACTAGTGTAACATACTCGAATAACACTAAAAGCCATGAGCACCAGAAGGGCGCAGAGTAAGAATGGCCCCAAAAAGCTAAAATCCTGGCCTCTTTTTGCTGCCCAGAATGTGTAGAGGGTAAGACCAGCAGTCACCAGCACCGTTAGAGCAGCAGCTTGCAAGACAATTTCACCTATAGCCACAGCTCAGTTAGCAAAAATTTGGCCTTCCTGCTTAAACTATATTAATAAGAACTGTTTAACCTCTTAACCTCAATTAACCTCATTGAAACTTCATAAACCAACATAAGAAAGTGCTATACTCGGATGTTACTAAGCTTTGATGATTTATTTATACTGCGGTTCTGGCAAAGGTAAAATACAAAGGAAATTAATTAGTGGGTTTAGTTTTGCATTAATTACCTCTTCTATAGGCGCAAGCCACTCCAATCATGAATGACATGGACAGGGTGAAGAGAAGCGCTAACACGTAGTTCCATGGATGTTTATTGCCAAAGCAGCTCATCAACAAAGATGCTGCAGAAGTAGTATTAGTATGAAAAACATATTATTAATAACAACGAATGCAAGAATTAAATAGAAGTATAAATATGTGTAAAAGCTCAAACAGATAAGCACCCTCTTATTGGTTGATTGTAGGATATTTTTACAAGAAAAGTTTTAGTTAATTAAATCATCTTGTTAGCTTAAAAACAGGAAGGGTTATTGGCCTTGTTTTCAAATAAAGCAAAATAAAATAAATTGCAATGTGAAGTCATTGAAGGTATTGAGAGGAGGAGAGAAGCCTACGTCATAATGTGGCTTTTGATAATGATGATAATAATAATAAGAAGACTAAAATGTGTAATAATTAATTAAAAACACTAAAATCTTGGGCTGGTCCGACCATCCTTTTTTAGGAGGTTACAACTTACACATAAAAATATGCGCAAATTGTGGCTGACATTGCGATTAAAATCTTGGAGACGCTTTTGAAAACCAAATATTAAGGTTCAAGTTTGGAGGAAAAACAATTCTAATTAAGAACCATCCGATCAAGAAACTAAAAAGATGAAAAGTACAAAAATTTTAAGAGAATAAGAATGTAGCTAGGGAGGTAGAATGAAGTTTACATATGAGGGTGAGAATGCAAGCCACAAGGACGAAGACCCAGCCAAGCGGATTTGCTATCAGAAAATGTTTGATGGTAGGGTTGAAAAACATCACCATCCCCACAGCAAAGCTGCAAAGCAATTGCAGGCATAAAAGCACGTAAACTTTCCTGATAAAAGCCCATCTCATCTGTGGATTTTCCATCATCCCCGGATAGAGTTGGCCATTGTTGGCATTTTCAACATCTCCACCTTTTCTTGAAAATCCTCCCATTTGAATTTGCCTTGGAGGAAAAAAAATCCAATGAAAAATTGACCTCTTTTGTTGTTTTTTTCTTCTTTCTTTGGGTCTAACTGAGAGGTTTATTTACATAAACACACACATATATATCAACCCAACCAAAAAGAGTTGATATATACAAAATGCATGCACAAAATGACTTTAATGGCTAGGTGTAGAATTGGGATGCAACAGTTGAGTTTTGAAAGATGTATTTTGTCTGGCAAGGAAGAGGGAGAGCTGAAAGAATATGATGGTTCTTTTGGATTCTTGAAAGATGTAAAAGAATGCGAAGGAGGGAAGGTTGAAATTCTCTATATATACTCCGATAAATTAGGAAAATTGTTTGACGCTGGAGTACATATGGATTGGTGGTTTTTCTAGAACCAGAAAAACTCACCGCAAACAGTACCCCCATTTTTTGCCGAAACCCCAACAACCATGGCTGATTGCACACCCTCTAATTTTCAGAGCATTTTTAGTTTAATGATTCTTTAGTTAAAAACTTCCTAGATTTGTAAAATTATTAAATGATTCTTTAGTTACAATTCTTTCAACTATTTTTTCTTGCAAGAATTTTCATATATGGGCAAATGTTTTTTGTGTGGGAAAAAAAAGAATTTAATGAAGCATTATGGAAGTCGTTTTGCATCATGTAAGAGCATATATTTAGGAGTATATTTTAAAAATAAAAATAACAATAGAGTTTTTTTTGGGTGTTTTTGTGTTTTGGGGGGGGGGGGGGGGGAAGGGGTTGCTAAACTTTATAGGTGCTTTCATGTATTTGAATGGTGGAAAATGGAATCCTAGTTAAGCCAAAGGTTATCCTGCAAAATCATTTTTTTTTTTGGTGTGGTTACACTATGCATTTTAAACATTGCCAGAAAACTGATTTGCGCAATTTGGAAAACAATCTAGAATTAAATTAAAGTTGCTTCTCATTCTTGTGGCTAAAAGAGAGAGAGAGGGAGGAAGATAAAAAAAAAAAAAAAAAAGACACATCTAAATAACTATCAATTAATGCAACAAAGCATACAAGACTTGAGAATTTTCTCAATACTCCATAGATGGAGTAGCTTTTAAGCATGATGTAAAACATCCTTGACTCGAGGGTTCAAAAAAATATCTAGTACACCATAAAAAGTAGGGTAGAGGTTTCTTGGTTTCCCACACAAGTGAAAAAGACACTAGAAAACATAGAATGTGGGGCTATAAAGGCCACAGAAAAGTGGACTTATCCCCCAGTAGTGAGGACCATATAGTAGCGCACTTTGACTCTTTGAGAGCAAGGGAAGAAGGAAACCAGAAGTTCAGAGAACTTGACCGACAGTCATGGCTTCTGTGTCTTCCCCGGCAATCTCTACTTCTACAAATGTGTTTGAATATGGAAATTTCGCCACTGAGTTGATAAAAGTTGAACAAGGGCCCTGCTGGAGAAAAGCTGCTGAACAAACTTTACCTCCTCCAAAGCCACTCTTAATTGGGACACCATCAGAAGCTGGAGTGTTCCCTGTTCTGCTGTTCCTTCATGGCTATCTTTTTCTCAACTCTTTCTATTCCGAGCTTGTTCAACATATTGCTTCTCATGGATTCATCGTGGTTGCCCCACAGGTCATTCAGTCTCAACTGTATCTAGCTCGTCCCGTTTTACACTAATTAGTGAATGATTAAATGCTGAGTATAGTGCTATTTCACCCATTTGTTCACATTCAGATTCCAATTAAATTTTGCATTCAGAATATGCTTTAAACATACTGTTGTAAGTGGTAACTTCGAATCTGGCTGTTGGCACTTTGTAATTCACATCTTGCTCATCAGATATATGTAAAATTGGCTTGCTCTGTGTCTGCCATCTGCACAAAAATGTGCCGGTCCATTTGATTGGCTGTACAGATATTTGGAAGTTGTTATACGAACAATTTTGCATGTTTCTTGACCTGATCTTTTTCAGGGATAGGTAAATAATGAAAAAGAATATCATTTTCCGAGGTAAGGCCATGAGGTTTAATGCCATTTTCTCTTGCATATTCTTGTTCAGTGTGCTGTCCATGAATTCGGATATTCTTTTTTCTTTTTTGGGTCAACCTCAATTTAAAATTCTGTTCAGCTCATGTTTTGAATCCAGAACCTATAAAGATTACAGAAGTACAGGTTTTTATTTTTCTTTTAAAAAAGGTGATGCAGTCAAAGGAAACATTATTAATGAGCTTTGTGAAGCTTTACAGAACTGTAATATCTGTTAGTACAGCTCAATCTAGTAATATCTGGATTGTTCTAGTAGTGGTTCAAAATTCTTAGCACTTTAGGTCTGTTCTTATAACTGTTGAATGTTCAAGATTGAACAATAAAACTCCCTGTACTAATCACAAATGGCCCCAATATGAAATTGCTGTTTGTTTGGCTGACATTTTCCTGCATCCACCTTGTTCCAGTTATATTGTGTGGCAGGACCTGATTCAACCAAAGAAATCGAGTCCGCTGCTGCAATAACAAACTGGTTTTCAGAAGGACTACAGGCTTGCCTTCCATCGCATGTTAGGCCGAACTTATCAAAGCTGGCGCTATCCGGCCATAGTCGCGGAGGCAAAGTGGCTTTTGCAGTGGCTCTGGGAAAGGCAATCACTTCATTAAAGTTCTCAGCGTTGGTAGGAGTTGATCCTGTTGATGGAATGGACAAAGGGAAACAAACGCCCCCGCCAATTCTCACTTACATTCCTCATTCCTTCAATATTGATATGGCTGTATTAGTCATCGGATCAGGCTTAGGTGAAGTAAAAAGGAACCCGCTGTTTCCACCTTGTGCTCCAAAAGGAGTGAATCATGAGGACTTCTTCAATGAATGTCAAAAGCCGGCATATCACTTTGTTGCCAAGGACTATGGCCATGTTGATATGCTGAATGATGACACAACTGGGATTCGAGGAAAGACCACATATTGTTTGTGTAAGAATGGTGTATCCAGAGAACCCATGAGGAGATTTGTTGCAGGAATTAGTGTTGCATTCTTGAGAGCTTATTTGGAAGAAAATTCCAACGACTTGGAGGCCATTAAGGATGGACACTTAGTAGCACCTGTGGTGCTTCAAAAAGCTGATTTTCTATTATAAATTGTGTGATTTAGTTGCCTAATAAAAGGAATCATCCCATTTGTTAGCAGAAATTTTACTAAAGAATGGAGCAACAGCTTCAAATCTAGTATTCCTTTTGATGGATGGTGCCTACATTACATATATATAATAGCAACAAAAACAAATGTTCTGTGTTACACTACACGATGCTTATTATTTCTACTCTCTCTCTCTCTCTCTCTCTCTCTCTCTCGTGATAGCTGTTTCCTTTTATTGAGGAAAGAAAATTTATCCCTCAAAAATAGAAAAATCATTTTAGGACATTTCAAGATGGCAAAAGCATCAAACAACTCGCTGTCGGGCCTATCAAAAGAAAGTAATTCGGTCCATCAGAAACCAACGCAATATTGGGCCGTCGCAAGAATGCATCCAAGAAAGAGAACACGGGCAAAAACAGGCTGAAGCCCATAGCCTGTATGCGTTTCATAATTTTCATTTTTTCTCGACATCTCTATTCTCTCCCCGTTATTTCTCCCGGCGGACACCGGACCGAGGTATGCCCTCCCGACGATCATGATCCTCCTTTTCTTTATTATATTTTGGGTTCTTTTTAATCTATCATGCTTTTGCATGGCATCTACTTTCGTTTATTTTTTGTAAATTGGCTGTGCTTAACTTGATTGATGTGGAATCACTCGAACTGGAAATATGTTGGATTGGATTTCACTGTAATTTGATAGAAAAAGAATCTACCTTTTATTGCTGCTTATCTTACGTTCGATAAAATGCCTCAATTATAAGAAAGAGTGTTGCTGGCTGACTATTATAGAGGCTTGGAGATCACTCCATGTGATATGTGTGTGTTACAAGCAGCGCACCGGCTATTATGGCTAGCTCTGGCCGGAGAAGAGGAAGAACCAGAATCACAGCCGCAGCATCCTGTTTAGTTGAAGAAGATGACTTTTTAAAATTGCAGTTTTAGTCCTCTAGCTTTTCCTTCTTTTCTGTTTTGACCTCTCCCCTTGTTTTTGTAGCCTATTGATTTGTCCCTAGTTGTTTGCTTGAAAAGTTTTCAATTATGTCTCTAGGTTTGTTAACTCAATTATTTAGTTTAGGTGGGTTTTCGATTGGTCAAATTAACTCAGAACTGGCTTTAATTCGGTTGCTCACCCTTTTAGAACTCGTGTGAGCCCCATGTGGTACATAGGCATACCGCAATTTTGTTATTTCTTTAGTTTATTTGCTTTCTACTATATTGTTGTAGAATGTGATTTAGGTATGTGCAATTCAGTAAGTTTTCTGACAGAAAAGAAACTTCAAAGTAGATGTTCAATGACTTTATGGTCACTGCAGCTGTTGCTGCATGTCTTCAATTGGATAATCTTGACCTAACTGCACATTAAAATGTTGAAATTTACAGATTTTCTTCTTCGATTTGCAGATATATAGCCTTTTTTACCACTATTCAGTTTGATTAGTGTCTTAAAGACCGAGGCAATTGGAAGTGGAGCTCTTCAATTTCATCTGGTCATGAAAATGTATGTTGCTAGTCATCAAATTTAGTTATGATTCTAAATTTCGTTGTAGTCTTGAAACCGAAGTAATCCTCTTGTTTGTCTTCTTTATAGATCTTTGAGACTTGTAGTTGAAAAACATTCTGTTGTTAGATTTCTTTGGGTGATCTTGTTTGCTTAAGGTTATGTGCTTTGCAGACTTCAAGAATATGCAGGTGCACTTACTAATTTTGAAGTTCTTGACTTTCTAAGATCAAGAGGTGCTGGTAAAGATCCCACACGACTTATTGCTGGCATAGCACCATCTGAATACAAGGTTGGAGTGTTTATCTCATCTAAAAGTATTTGATGATTTTCTCTCATGGAAAGCTAACATAATTGAGATTCTCATATGCTGATCTTTTAATGGCTT